GTCAATCGCTAGCTTCAAACGGTCCAGTTGTTGACAGTAGAGATCCGAATTTAGTGTTTGGCCATATGGAAGCAACTCATAATAAATGATTCCTTTCCAGTCCCACCAAATGCACAGCAGAACCTTCCTGGCCGTTAGTCCTAGTTTGGCCACCGTTTGAACTGCTTCACCGCGCTTTGACCACGATCGTTTTCGCACAATGTTGTCACATGTGACCCATTTCTCATCCCCAGTCACCATCCGTTTAAGAAATGAGTCGATTTCATTTCATTTGGCCAAGGCTTCGCAGATGGAAATTCGATCCATCATGTTTCTTTGTGTTAATTGGTGTGGCATCCAAACATTGAGCTTCTTTGTGAATCCAGCTTTGTGCAAATGGTTTAAAACTGTTTTATGGTCGATCTTTAGCTTCTGGGCGATGCTACGACTGCTAACATGCCGGTCGATTATTTCTGTGATTTTATCGACATTTTCGACGACGGGCCTACCTGTGCGAGGTGCATCTTTAACATCAAAAATACCTGAACGGAATCGACGAAACCAAAATTGCACGTAATTGGCTGTTACAGTATCGGCACTATAAACACCATTCACAATTACAGCCGCCTGGCTTGCATTTTCGCCTTTATCAAAGAAAAACTGTAAAATGTACCGAATTTTCTCTTTGTTGACTTCCATTTTGAATACCCTGTAACTCACAACTGAATGGTCCAAACAAAAAACAACAAAAGAATATTTTTAGTGCGAAATGTCACTTTTCCAACGAGCATAAATCTGAAATTGTTTGATCGTTACTTTACGAGATATCGATCACTACAGCTATCTACCGAAAAAATAATGGATTTCTTTTTCCCCAACCTAATATTATGTTTCAACATTTCGAGAAAGGATTGACCGCAGCACAGTCATTCGCCAATCTCAACGATCTTTTTGAAGAAAGGAACACGGCTGCCAGAAGTGCCTTATCATCGAAATCCGATGGCCGTCCTCATCCTAACTTGTCCTCCATGCTTGTGTCACTAGATTTGAAACGAGAAAACCACTCCCGACTCTTTCTCTCACTGATTGTTCCTTCAAGTAGTAGAGCAATAGTAGAGAAGTATATGGTGCAGGTGAATATGATTTTCGACACGCATTTCTATTAAGTAAATGTAGAAGAATGGTTTTTATTAAAAATATAAACAAATACCAATATTCATTAGTAATAAATACGTAAAAAGTTAACGGCGGATAATTATGCATCAATCCAATAGTAATACGTTTCTACTAACATCTGTAAATATTACAATCTTTATAAGTTGGAATGCATACCGCCTTTCACCTGCTTCCCTACTTTCTTTGAGTTTCTAAGACCACTACGTATTAATGAAAAAATTATTATTAAAACATAAGGATACGTTATATTTTTTGCTATTTAACAATGTGTATATAGTTTTTAATTCGGCTTTTTACTCCTGTGCACTGTAACAGAAAGATTACAGAAACATTTCTATTGTAATATTTCATATGACATATTGCAGAATTTTTTCAGATATGTTGCACATGAAATAGAAAAGGTTGAAATGAATTTGAAACCATTCTGGAAGCTTTTTATAACAACCGGTGCTGTATGGTTAAACTCAAAACATCGCCGTCAATTTTGATTGGCGAGTAACACAGATACGTAACCTGCTGATGTTTTCAACAACTGCAACATTTTTTTAATTGCGATTAAACAGATAACAGAAATATTTACGTAAAATATTGTTATTAAATTAATCTGTAATGCGTATGTTGAAAACATGGGATCAACATGTACCCAATAAGCAGTAAGAAGTCAAAATTATATCGAAATGATATCGAAATTTGGTAATCGAAAAAAAGTAGAAATCTAACATTTAGATTCAAATAGGCTTGATTTCAAAACATTGTTGACATCAAAATTAGCTCGATTCAGAGTAATTTTTTACATTAAAATAACTAAGTTTCGAACAATTTTCCAAATAGCACAAGATTCAACAGAAATATTACAGCAATATAAATATTTCATAGCAATATTACAACCAAATATAGTGTGAATATAGTTGGTATATTACAAAGATATCACAGAATTTAAAATGTTCGCCAAAATGAATCACAATAATATTAGGTCCAGTAAAAAGTAATCCATTATTTTTCCAATAGAGGGCTTTACTAATCTGTATCTCGCGTTGTATAAGTCCGATCGGATTACGCCAGATGGCGTTAGAAAGATAAGATTTCGTACTAAAAAAACCTCTTAGACAGTTTTGTGATTGCTTGACTCAGTATTGTTTGAGCGCGCGTCAAAGAAAAACACCAGCAAAGAGAAAATATGCCATATTTTACAGTTTTTTTTTTCGATAAAGGTGAAAACGCAAGCCAGGCAGCTAAAAATGTGAATAGTGTTTACGGTCTTGATACTATAAGAGCCAATCACGCGCAATTTTGGTTTCGTCAATTCAGTTCCGGTAATTTTGATATCAAAGATGCACCACGCTCCAGGAGGCCAATTGTCGAAAATGTTGAAAAAATAATGAAAATCGTCGAGTCCGACCGTCATGTAAGCACCGTTTCGATTGCCAAGGAGCTAAACATTGCACAAAAAACCGTTTGGAACCATTTAAATGAGGCTGGTTTCAAAAAGATGCTCGATGTGTGGGTGCCACACGAGTTAACGCAAAAAAACCTCATGGATCGAATTTCCATCTGCGAATCGCTGCTGAATCGCAACAAAATCGATCCATTTCTGAAGCGGATGGTTACTGGTGATGAAAAGTGGGTCAATTACGACAACGTCAAGCGAAAACGATCGTGGTCGAATCGCGATGAGCCGGCGCAAACGGTGGCCAAGCCAGGGTTGACGGTCAGGAAGATTTTGCTATGTATTTGGTGGGATTGGCAGGGAATTATCTACTATGAGCTGCTCCCCTAAGGCCAAACTCTTAATTCGGATCTATACTGTCAACAATTGGATCGTCTAAAGAAAGCAATCGCCCAAAAGCGGCCAGCTTTGGCTAATAGGAGAGGAATTGTGTTCCATTAGGATAACGCCAGGCCACACTCATCGATAGTGACTCGCCAGAAGCTTCGGGAGCTTGGTTGGAAGGTTCTGTTGCATCCACCTTATAGTCCGGATCTGGCACCAAGTGATTACCACCTGTTCCTGTCTATGGCGAATTTTTTTGCTAGTGAAAAATTCGCCTCAAAAGAAGCTTGTGAAAATCGACTTTCCCAGTTTTTTGCCAATAGGGACGAGGGTTTCTATGAGAGAGGCATAATGAAATTACCTTCGAAATGGCAACAAGTTATCGAACAAAACGATGCATATTTGACCTAAATCGGATCATCGTAACTATGTTAAATAAAGCCTCCAATTTGATACAAAATAATGGATGACTTTTTACTAGACCTTATATAATGGTGATATTGCAAGTCCAAGTTGAACAAATTTCATTCTCAATTTAATTTAAGCAATTTTCTGACAACTATTAATCGCGAAAGTTGTTTCACACTTAATATTTGTATCCCTATGTGGATTCGATCTCGAGCAGCAACCAAGTAGTCACCTATCAAATTTAATACGCCGTTGACATCGCTTAACCTCAATGACCAGAGAGCCAGTGTGAAACAGACAGTGAGTTCAATAACTATGACAATATTCTAGCCACTGAATTTGATATGATTTAAGTTACTCCCTATACGTATTCCTTATATTAACAAAAATGTTCTTGTATTATATACTAGCATTTTCAGAAAATACACGCTGATAAAAACGATGCAATGGACAGGTCTGGCCAACTTGTTGATTTTTATGAAGAGTCACCATCATCATCAATGACGTTACTGCCCAGAGTCGAGTCTAGGCCTACCTCTGTCTCACGTATGCATGTGGTGCGCACGCAGATTATACACATGCATACGGAACCTACAATTTAAACACCGCTTTCAAACGGCAAACTTTTGGAGAGAAGTTCTCGTGGCATGGATACACTTTGGTGGTTTACCACCGAAGAGGAACTACGAGCGTATGAAGTTTTTGGTTCTGATGGTAATCGAACCCGGGACCTCTAGCATGGCAGGCCGGTGCGTTGTCTACTATACCACGCTCGCGCTCTTTTATGAAGAGTATGCGCCTTTTTACATGCTTCAGGAATCGTCGATTAAAAAAATCTATTGTAAATATCAAAAATATATAATTGAAAAATTTAAATGCGTTTTTCTTGGAACGTGATTTCTTAAACTTGACAATGTACAAAGAAAACGGATTAATATAATGACTTGGGCTTTTGACAAATAAATATTTTTTTATTTAAAAGTATGCACATATTACAACTAAGCTTCCCAGTTTATCTAGTAACATTTTTTTACTGAATAATTCACTATGGAGAGATCATGCAGTAATGAGTTTCAATTTATGTACAAGTCATCATTTCTATCAAGATGCCTCGTCACAGGTGGGGCAGGTTTCAGTTTCCTGAGACGTCTGAGCTCCTTGCTGTTATCTAGGAAAAGAAGCATATTTGTTGTGACGTGGCGGCTTGAAGCACTCGTCACAAGAGACGAATGCTTCCGAGGAAGTCTTATCACGGATAGGGAGATATGCTCCTCGCGAGCGTGTAATTGATGCGGCGACTTTTCTTTTTTTATATTGTACAGCGGAGACCGCGCACCTCCGGCGCGAGTATATTTTTGAGGCGAACCCCGCGTCCCCCTAAAAATGTATAACCCACGCTCCGGATGGCGGCGAAAAGAGAAGAAGAAGCACATCAAGCACCACCCGCCGGGTGGAGGAGCGGAGGCAGCCCGACAACGCGGATTGACTCCAGGTGACTCTCTATGCTCTATTTCGTGCTATCGGAAGTTTTGCTCTTGACATCGTCTAGGCTGTCGTGTTCCGTCCTTTTTCTTACAGCGGTAGAGCCGGTGTATAAGGACGCGCATAAGGGCGGTTCAAGCAACAAACCGGAGACCCGATGTCGCGCCTAGCTACCGAGGAGCTACCGAGGAGCAGGAGGTGAGACGGCAGACCGAGAAAGTGGATCAGAAAACTGCTGTCGGAAAACATCCGGAAACCAAAAAAGGACGAATAGAAAGACAAGGAAGAAGAGGGGACCTGTTAACAATCTGCGTTGACGGAAGCTAGTCTTGCGCTTGGTGGAGTAAAGAGAGAGTTTCCGAAAAAACAGCGATAACGATGGAGCAAGAGAGAGAGAGAGAGAGAGAGAGAGAGAAAGAGAGAGAGAGAGAGAGAGAGAGAGAGAGAGAGAGAAAGGACGTGCTCGACGAGAAGGACGAGACTTCAGGAGCAGCACCGGGAGCCAGTTGCCAGGAGCTTCGATTTTTGTAAGGTCGCACATCCTTATTTAAATTAAATAGTATCGCGTAGATCGTCCGTTCGGTCGACCGCCGTGCAACCTTCCCGACGGACTTGGGGCAAATGGTGGGCTAGCCACCCTACCGGCGGACATCGCAAGTCCACCGCGGTCTGGGTCTCGCAAAATTAAAATTGTACATGCAAGGCGCTATTGCTTTAGCGCATTCTGTTATCGCTACCGCTATGCCGTAATAAAGGCAACCATTGCATTATATAAACCCTTGGCCTTGTGTTTTCGTTTCTCTGCCCTGACTTGACCCGACGAACCACCTCGCCTCCGATTTAACTCACTCAGAAGCTATCGGTCCCGTTCGGGATTAACCTCGGTTGCGAGAAAGAACGTGTCTGAAGCCCGGGGAGGCTCGTCGATCATCTTGGTTTTTTTTGTGGGCGGTAAGTCCGCATCTGGCGCCCAATCTTTACGACATAGGTTGTGACGAGAAGTTTTTCTCGCGTTCTGGGTTCGCCTGACGGTTTTATACCGGCGATTCGCATTACTCTGAATCGAGAAATTCTGTCGCACTGTATTCACGTGCTCATGAATTCTGTCTATATGCCTGGTTGCCGTTCTTATTATTTCTTTTTTGACAGTAACCACCTTGAGGTCTCGGTGAATAGTGTCCTTACGCATATACCAAGGAGCATTTACAATACTTCTTAGGACTTTTTGGAAAGTTTGTATGATATTGCTATTACTTTTCTTTGAGCAACCTCATAGTTGTAGCCCATAGGTTCATATGGTTTTAGAATTTGTTTGTACAACAAAAGCTTATTTTGAATGTTTAGCCTAGATTTCCTACCTAGTAGCTAGTACATTTTTCTGAATTTAATGTTTAATTCATCCCTTTTCTTTTTCATATGCTTTTTCCATCTGAATGTTGCGTCTCTTTAGAGTTGTCCCAGGTATTTAGCTGTATTAGCATGTGGTATTACTTTCTCGTATTTTATCCATCGCCTGATTTCAGTTGATCCATTAGCCACCCCAGCGGACCGATGTTTTCTGTCGAGGTTGTCTCCCTTAGTTGGGTTGTTCTCGCTTTTAGACGTCAGAGTAACACCTTTTGTCCCTTATCTATCTGCTGTGAGATAAGTCACACCCAGGGTTCGCGATTAGGACGCTCGATGATTGGACTTACTGGTTTACTTGTTGGTATACTGCACGGCTTTTCACGGCTCTTTTTAGGAATGCATTTTTCAGCATGATGCATCCAACCGCGACCTTACTAGCCATTTGAACCCCGACAAATAAATGAAAACTATTTCTTTCATATGCAAAACCTAAATTATAAATTTTATTTTATTTAATTAATACTATGCCGTCCAGGGACACCACATTGGTGTCCTGTGAAAACTATCGCGCAAAGACCGGCGACACCACGTTGGTTTCGTGCGCAAAACTATCGCGCAAAGACCGGCGATAGCACTGTGGTGCCGTTTGTGTTCTGATTGTGTACTGTTGGTGTTCTGTTTGTGTTCTGTTTAAGTAACAATAAGTTACAAACATCATGATTCGATCGACAGACTTTCCGGTCAGCTAAAGCAACACCAGCTAATATAAATTTCCGACAAACGAAAACTAAGAAAGTGCTATTTATGTTTCAAAAATAAAAATAGAAGTACAACAAATTTAATGTGTAAAGCTTGTGGAGTCGCGTAACACCTCGGAGATTGTTTTGCTTCATATCATCTAAAAGAGAAATACTAAGTAACATTAAAATATTAATAAATAAATAAATATATAATATAAAAAAATGTAACATTTATTTACATATATCCTCGAAATTTCATGAAAATAGCGGGACAGGATTGAAAACTAATGAGAACTGACGATTTATGATCTCCCGAAAACCTCGAAAAACCGCCGGCGACAAGCAAAATGATCTGAGTCAGTCCTACCGGCGTCAAACAAAAAAATCCCAATTAGACGTGCGGACGGCATAATGTTAATTATAAATTAAAAAAAAAATAATATTTCTTAGACAATTTATTGGAAAAGTAATAGTAGAAAAATGAACATTCTTCTTAACATGTTGACTGCCAACTACGAGATATCTCGTAGGTTGCCCAGGACGCCAACTACAAGTTATCTCGTCGCTTCATTACTTGATTAAATCAAATTGGCTTCTTAGACCAGAATCGTGAACAGTTTCGTGGCAATTAACGTGTTAATAACAATATAATTCTACTTATTGGCGAATTTCTATAATTTCAATAGGTTGAGTACATGCGTTTAAATTTATTAATTATAAATTAACATGATGTTTGGGTTTCAGATAACCAGCTTTTGTTGTACAATTTCAGCAGTTTCTTGAAATTTTGGTAGATTTGTCTGCTGCCTGAGCAGACATTTCGACTATTTTATATTGTTTTAATATATAAAAGTTCATGCATAATTCTTAAAGTATAAATTCTTAAAGTATAAATAAAATATATGTATTAGGTCTATGCATAATTCCGTAGCGGAATTCGAGTAAATTTTAAACGCAAAATATTTGGCAAAAAAAGCGATTTTAATACTTTGCGGTCTGTCGACGGCATGCATGGTGCCGTCGCGCTCATTTCGACGTTGCGGTCCGTCGACGGCACTGTGCCGTCGCGATCTGACAACATTGGTTTTATCAATAAATCAAAACAAATGCGGTTTTAAGCAACTGGCAACATACAAAACAGATGAATAGCGATTCGTAGCTATATCAAAACAAGTGACGATCGCTCCAAGTGTTAGGATGATTCTTTCAGAGCTAGTTTTTCGATTCAAGTCGATCGACAGATTTTACCAGTGTAAACGCTATTGTGAGCTGAGGAAAGCAAAAAAATGTTATTTAACACAGATTTTTTTCAAATAAAGAAATTTGAGTTGTAAAAGTTAAATTCGACTCTTACAATCAGTCATTGGTTTATTATTTATCAATCGTACACGTATTCTCTAACTGTATTTATTTATTTATCTACTGTTTGGTCTCATATTATGCCGTATTTTATATAATTTTGTTTCATATTCTATGGTCATAGATGATGTGTCACCGATATTTCGTCGACGTGTCTTGAGACGAATTTCGTCAGAATCATTAAACGATGAGGATATTAATTTATATCCGCGGAGAAAAAAACAATGTTTGCAAGCACATGTAAACGAGAAGTATGTTTTCTATGCTTTTATTAATTTTCTTGATATAATTTATGCCCTTAAAGAGTCGATTATATCTATGTTTAAATTTTTTCCAGCTCAAAATAGACCATGACATTGATGGTCTCAGAAAGTAAAGTTCTCACAGAAAAGTTAACTTTTATGATGTTTAATAATAGAGAAGAAAATGAACTTCACGATAAAGTTGTTTGAATACGCTAGGTTCAATAGTTTTTTGATATCAATTTTAGTATAAGAAGAAAATCAACTAAATAAGCGCGGCTACTTGCGTATTATGCCTTTCAGAAGTCCGAACACATTTGTCAAGCGTTTTCGGGTGGGCCACGGACCGCAAAGTATTAATCAATTTAATCAAATATATTCCATTATTTTCAATGACTTTCTTCCTCATCTTTACAAGCTTCATTATCCATTTTCCATAAAAGTCCTGAGATTTTTGGGCAAAGAAGTCATCCAAGTGGTTTTTTATGGCGTCCAAGGAACTAAAAGTTTTATTATTCAAATTGTTCTGTAGCGCCCGAAAGAGATAGTCTGAAGGCGCAAGGTCTGGACTATATGGTGGGTACACCAAAACATCCCACCCAAACCGCAATAACTTTTGCCGGGTCATTAGAGAAACGTGTGGTCTAGCGTTGTCCTGGTGGAACACAACGCTCTTTCTGTTCGCCAATTCGGACCACTTCTGATCAATTGCTTGCATTAATTTGGCCAGTTGTGATCAGTACTTAGTCGAATCAATCGTTTTTTTTTGGGTGGCAGCAGCTCATAATACACGATTCTTTTCCAATCCCACTAGATGCTAAGCATGACTTTCGTCGGGCGTAATCCAGCATTTACGATATATGAATAGCCTCCCTGCGCTTCGACCATGATCTTCTTCGACTGACATTGTTGTAGACAAATCCACTTTTCATTGCCAAAGATCATCCGCTTTAAAAATGTTCGTTTTGACGGCATTTGAACAGCGAATCGCAAACTGAAATTCGCTCCATTACATTCTTTTTGCTCAGTTCATGCGGCACCCAAACATCGAGCTTGTTTACCATCCCAAGCTTCCGTAAATGTCTCGAAACAAATAATTGTTCAATGTTGAGTTTATGTCCAATCTCTGTAGTCGTCAAATACCGGTCGGAGTCGATTAAAGCCTTGATTTGATAGACATCAGTTATGACTGGCCGACCATATCCAGGAGCATTTTGGAGACCAAAATCTCCGCAACAAAATTTTGCAAACCACTTCCGACACACACTTTCGTTTACGGCATTCTCTCCGCACACGGTGCATATTTCTTTGTGAGTTTGCGACGCATTTATGCCATTTTGGCATAATAGATAAACGAAATGCACCGAAAATACACATTTTTTTCTTCCATGTTCAAAATATAATTAAGCTTTGTATACGTCATGTATCTCGATGAATACTTTCTTAAAATGTCCGCACAAATTTCAGCTTTCACTTAATGTAAGACACTTTATTGTTCGACACATGTTCGAGCGGAAAAACAATTGCGAATAATATCTATCGGAATTTCGCAACGGAATTATGCATAGACACAATTCAAACGTGAACTTAATATTTGTAAACAATTTTTCAAAAAAATTCTTAAAAATTGTTAGATTTTTAGCATTTCAAAGTAAATGACCCCCTTCGCAATTATAAAATAAATCAAGATTCAAACAAAAGTCGAGTTTTCTACTTGCCAGCCTTGTCGAGCTAATTTTGACTTCCAAAATGTTATTTCAACATCGTTTCGATATCAGTTTTCGCATAAGGTAGTTGAAATACTTTTTATTAAGTTAAGACGCCTCACACAAAATTATCGTGAAATAGTGAAATTTTACAAAAAGTTATTGTATGTTTATGAAAAGAATCTTAAATAACACGGAAAACGTAATATTGAATCCTTGTATCGTTCATCACTTACGTTGCATAACGTCGCCATTGTCATGGGAAATGTTTTTCCAGCTGTAATATATAATGGTTTATTCGAGCGAAGCATGATTAGTAATAAGTTCTTTGCTGCCTTCGGTTCTATTGTGTGCCACGAATATTCATAAGCAGCTCGGTGTATTTTTTCAGACTGAAAAATGTGACACATATATGAGATCTGAACAGAACGATTATTGGATAAATAAGCGCCAATAATGTAAATATTATATTTCGAAACAAATGCATCGTGAATAAAATTTTCGAATATTACAGAAAAATAACAAAAAATATGCTGAGTAGTAGTAGTAGACAAATCATACAGTTTATATTATTGTGAAAACTACTGTCATATTATTTTACTTACTTCACTTACTTGTGTCACGAGAACTTCACCAACGCCACAATAAAGACCCATGTGCAACAATATATATAAAATCATTGCAACGATCCAACCCAACTGCATAAATGGCAATTGGCCTTCTTTTTTAACAATCTAGATTGTTAAAAATACAAGATCGTAAATTTTCTAAAACTCCTTGAAACTTATCGTATCACCTTAGAAATGTGTTATACGCCAAAAAAATGTGTAAAATAAAATTGTTAAATGTGTAAATTGGCAGGTGCATTTTATATTTGTTTCACATATAAACATGTCATTTTATCGAAAAATGTTTGGGTAATAACCTCTCGTAAATCATGTCCCCAATGTGTAAATATTTGCAATACTTACATTTACTATGAGAAATCCTTGTAGGCAGAATTCTATGCAAAAACAAATCATCAAACCAAGCAGCATTAAATCAAAAGTATTGTCGATAATTTCGACGGATCTATAATAGTAAATCAGAAAATGACGTCAGAAAATAACATAAATATATATATTGTTTTTGAGTATACAATCGGTCCTACAATTCCTGCTTAGAAATAATTTATTTCTGTTTATTTTATCTGCAATGTATCTGGAATACCTGATTAACCGTATGTGATCCTGCACATTGTACTTCAATACTGCATTAAAGTTCGGGTATTTTTCCATATGTCTCAACCGCAAATGTAGATTCTCTAATTGGCCACATACATGGAAAATCAACAGTCCGAGGAAGTGGTCCACCGCAGAATAAGAGAGACACCCTGTGAACAAGACTATTCCTTGTGCTAAATATGTTAATTCGAATTGCGGACTTTTGGACACATCATGCAAGTAGTACGATTGTATTAGCAAGGGTCTTCCACAATCAGTCAGGTTTGTCACGTGCCTGACCATTAGTCCGAAACATGGGAGGACTAAGGTGATAGATACTGAAAAAATTATCATGAATATTCCGCACATGGCAATCAGGCGAGTGATTATGGCACACCTGAGCATAACATCTCGCTCTTCCTTCATCTTGACCTTTACCCAATCTTTTTCAATCATGCCAATTAATGGTGCTAGGGCTATAAGAAGTGATGCGTTAATACTTCGCTACGTAGATAATTATGTGCGTTTTATTAATTAAATATAATATTAAGTAAGGTGACTGTCAAGAAAATATTTTGCCAAGCAATGTACCTTTTTGATTATACCATATGATACTGATTTTAAACAACGCCATTAACATAGGCAGACTGCATTCCAAATTTTCTACCTTTAGTGTCATATCGCCCCATATCCGTAGCAACGATACTAAAGTCGGTATCGTTGTTATGAAGAGTAATGTGATAACGTTGCATAACAGTCGAAATTTTGATCGTACAATTTCATGCACGTTACGACTGTCTGGTGGCCACAAACCGATACTTTTCAACATGAACCGATGTAGACTAATTGCCCATTTGAAATCTGTCATTAGAAAACTTTACATGATTTCCTTCGTAGCACATATAAGAAAAACTTTGGAAACTGTAAGTTTACATATACAATTTGTATATAAAAAAAGATATATAACAGTAAATGTACATATACCATTTGTATATAAAAACAAAAAATATACGAGGTCTGTTCAAAAAGTATCGCGAATTTTGAATTTCCGC